GAGGTGGCAGTGGGCGTTGACGAAGCCGGGCATGAGGACTACGTCGCCGAGGTCCTCGACCTCGACATCCGGCGGCGCCTGACGGCCGATGCGTTGGATGCGGTCCCCCTCGATAACGACGATCGCGTCCTCAATAGGAGGCGCCGCCACCGGGCAAACCAATCGGGCTCGCAAAGCCTGTCGTGTCATCGTATTCCTAAAGATCGCCGGCCCGTCGGGGGACTGAAAACTCACTCCCCGGACGCCGCCGTGTTGTCGCCCTATTCCCCACCGGCTGGTGGTTCGTCGCGGTGGGCCGCGTCTTGGGTGGCGGACGCATCCCGCTGGATGCCTCCGCCAAATACAGGACGGTCCCCAGGCGTCGGAGGTTCCGTCTCGACGCCTACGCCGGCGCCACAGGCTCGCTAGGGGCGTTTCCGCCGCGAAGAAGGCCTCAAGAGGCCGTGCCGAGCCGCGCTGCGACCTGCGGTTTGCCGCGGTCGTGGCTGCCAAGCGCCCAGATGAGCCCGGCCGCCGCGACGCCCCCCAGGATAGCAAAGGGCGTCGCGTAGCCTAGCTGTTCGGCTGGCATTTCGATGAAAACCATGTCATGAACGCCCCAGCTAGCGGCGACGTTGCGGATTGCCTCTGCATTGAGTGCCGAGACAAGCTGTAACGCGTTGTACACCGCATGGAACACAACACACGGGATCAACGAACCGGTGCGGACAGCGATAAGTCCCAGCAAAAAGCCTACTGGAGCCGCGGCGAGCGACTGCTGGAGCACCGTGTGGGCGGCGCCGAAGAAGACCGCCGTCATCAGAACGCCGCCCAGATCGCCCAGCGACTTGCGCAAACCCGAGAGCACAACGCCGCGGAACGCAAGCTCTTCGCAAACCGCCGGCAGCACGGCGAGCAGCAGCACCGTTAGAGCGATTGAAGGCGAGTCCGTGATCCATCGCGAAACCTCGCCCAACTGGGCCTCGACACCCTCCGGCAAGGGGTAGAGCCCCTGGATGCCCGTCTTGAGCCGCTCACTCAGCGGGATCAGGCAGAGGGCGGCGAGGGCGGCGACAGCGATGTCCCGACCGCGAACGGGACCCTTAAGCAGCAGGCTGCGGAGCGGGTCGCGCGTCAGCAACCAAGCCACCGCCAGGGCCGGCGCCAGGATCTGGAGCTGCGAGAGGATGGTTAGGACCGCCAGATAGCCGAAGCCCGATTCGCCCTGGATCGGCGCCGGCATCAGCGGCGTCAGCAAGGACCGCAACAGGAAGATCCCCGCGACGCACGCCATCGCGGCGGCGGCGGAGGGCGTCTCGCCCCGGCGGCGGACCATCGCGGCGAGTTGGGCCTTGGGGCTGAACCGTTCGCTCTCACGGAACAGCACCGACTCTTGGTTGAACTGCGACACCGCCCACCGCATCGCCAGCCAGCAACAGACCGCCGTCACCGCGATCACCGGGGCGAGGTACAGCGCGGCTTGCGCGACCTGGCCCTCGATCGTCGCCCGCAGCAGCAACACGAGCCCCATCACGGGGACTAGGCTGTTGCCGAGGTTGAGTTCGACCCCCGGCGCCGTGGGCATCAGCATCAGCGGCGTCGCGGCGAGGAACAGCGGCATGAAGTAGTACTGCCCCTCCTTCGTGCTCCGCGCGTACGCCGCGCAAGCGAGCGACAGGGCGCTGAACAGCGCCGACATCGGCAGCACCGCGACCACCAGCCAGAGCATCGCCGACACCGGCGGCGGAGCGAACGCGGCGCCGAGGCCCGCCATTCCGGCCAGCTGACCCATCAGCACCTTGGCCGTCAAAGCGAGGCTCGCCAGGTTCAATAGCGCCGTGAAGATGCTAAAAGTCATCACCGTCAGCAGCTTGCCGCCGACAATCTCGCTGCGCCGCGCGGGGCTCGCCAGCAGCGTCTCGAGCGTGCCGCGTTCCTTCTCGCCAGCACAGAGGTCGATCGCGGGGTAAAACGCCCCGGTGAGCGCCCATAGGAAGACAATGAACGGCAGCAGCTTGGCCCACAGCTGGGCGTTGCGGGATTCCTTCGGCGCCACATCGACCTGGTCAACCGAGAAGGGCTGTGTCGCCGCAATCGGCACGTTGCGGGCCCGCAGGTTGCCGGCGACAACGGCGTCGCTCCAACGCCGCAACAAGCTCGTTACGCGCAGGCCGGCGAGCTGTGACGACTCACGGCTCGAGTTGAACCGGACGGCGGGCTGTGGCGGCGCTACCGCGGCGGCGTCGGTCGTCTTGGCTTCGCGCGAACGCTCAACGCCCTCGGCAAAGTCGTCGGGAAAACAGATCGCGGCGTCGATCTCACCGCCGGCGACCGCCGCCTCGGCCATAGCAAGCCGCTCGCCGGCCGGCGCCGACCGCTCCTCGACTTTCAGCCGCCCGCGTTCTTCTGGGTCGATAAACAGGTCGGCCGCGAATCGGTCCCCGTCCACCAGCGCCGGCAGCCCCTCGACGTCGCGCAGTTCGTCGGCGCCGTAGATGGCGACCTTGCCCGTCGTCTGACGCATGAACTGCGCCAGCTGGAACATGCTGGTCCCCAGCAGCGGGTACATCAGCACCGGCAGCACCGCGACCATGAACAGCGTCCGCCGATCGCGGAACTGATCACGGATCTCACGCTGCCAAATCCAGAGGACGTTGCGCAGATTCATGGGGGATGGGGAACGCTGTAGTGATTGCGGGGTTGGTTCTTGCTGCCGATGGAGGGGGCGCCGATTTGGGGGATGGTGGGATGGCGTTTCGTGACGGGAAGTCTCTTCTGCTAAATGATCGGCAGCTTGTGATTGTGGGAGGGGTCTCTAGACCCCGATTACGGTCTCTTAGCCGTTGCGGCATGGTGCGCAAAATCGGGGTCTGGAGACCCCTCCCACAAAATCTCTTGCAAGTTGTTCATCTTTCGACGTCTCACGGCTCCGCTTCGGCTCGCCCCGCCAATCGTCCATCCCCATTATCCCCCCACACCCCCATCATCTCCCTTCCTTTCGATCGCCTCGCGTTCAGCGTTCGAGACGAGGTGGAAGAACAGCTCTTCCAGGTCGTCCTCGCCGTGGCGCTCGCGGAGGTCGTCCATCGGGCCGCAGTCGATGATCTTGCCGCGGTACATCACGGCGATGCGGTCGCAGATGCGCTGGACCTCGCTCATGATGTGCGTGGAGAAGACGACGCACTTCCCTTCGTCGCGTAGCTCGGCGACCGCGTCGAGCGACGCCCGCGCGGCAAAGGCGTCGAGACCGTTAGTCGCTTCGTCGAAGACAATCACCGGCGGGTCATGGACCAGCGCGCGGGCGATCGAGGTTTTCTGCTTCATGCCGGTGGACATCTTCGCGCCAAGCGTGTCGCGGAGGTCGTCCATCCGCAGCTTGGTGAACAGCCACTCCATCCGGTCACGCAGCTGCGCCGGCGCGAGGCCGTGCAGGCGGCCGAAGTACTCGACGAACTCCCACGCCGTCATCCGGTCGTAGACGGCCGTGTTCGCCGAGATGAAGCCGATCTGATTGCGGACCAGCTCGGCCTGCTCGACGCAGTCGAAGCCGTTCACCCGGGCGACGCCGGCCGTCGGCTTGAGCAGCGTCGTGAGAATCCGCAGCGCGGTGGTCTTGCCGGCGCCGTTGGGGCCGAGGAGGCCAAAGACCTCGCCCGAGTGCGCCGAGAACGACAGATGATCGACGGCCAGCACTTCGCCGCGCGCCAAGTCATCGTACGCCTTGGTGAGATCGACGACCTCGACCATCGGGCGGCCGAGGGGCGGCGTCTCGTCGTCAACCGTTTCTACAGGGCTCGTCACAGGAGGCATAGGCGACGGGCGGCGCGAAACGGGGACGGTCGTGCGGGTTCTTTCGGTTGGAGGGCGCTAAGCCGCAATCGCCAGTGTTCATGACCGGCCGCTCGCGGCTTAGCGCCCCCTCAGACCTCAACCCTAGCTCACTACCGGAAGCTTCGGCAGTACCTTGCGGGCGGCTTTGACGGCCCGCATTTCGTGCTCAGGGTCGACCAACTCGTAATGAACGTTCCGCTGCCGGGGGGTGAACCCCAGCTCCTCGATGGCGCCGCGGATGTCGTCGAGCGTGAGGAAGTGAACGGTCCCGGCCTCGGCGACGACGTTCTCCTCGATCATCAGGCTGCCCATGTCGTTGGCGCCGTAGAGCATCGCCATCTGGCCGACCTTGAGCCCCTGCGTCACCCAGCTCGATTGGAGGTTGGCGAAGTTGTCGAGATAGAGCCGCGCGACGGCGTTGGTCTTGAGGTACTCGTGGGCGCCGGCCGGCGGCAGGTGGTCGAGCTGCGTGTTGTCGCGCTGGAAGGTCCAGCAGATGAACGCGGTGAATCCCTTGTGGCCCGCCGCAAGCGACTCGTCTTGCAGGTCGCGCAACCGATCGAGGTGTTCGATCCGTTCTTCGAGCGTCTCGACGTGACCGAACATCATGGTGGCGCTGCTGCGGCCGCCGAGCTGGTGCCACTCGCGCATCACGTTCAGCCAGTCGTCCGACAGCACCTTGCCGCGGGTGATCTCTTTACGGACGCGATCGACCAGGATCTCGGCGCCGCCGCCGGGGAGGCTCCCCATGCCGGCCGCCATCAACCGCTCAAGCACTTCGCGAAGCGGCAGCTTGTTGATCTTGGTGAAGTGATGGATCTCCGGCGGGCTGAAGGCGTGCAGGTTGACCTGCGGGAACGCCCGCTTGATCTCGCCGAGCATCGACTCGTACCACTCGAGCTTGTACTCGGGGTGCAGGCCGCCTTGCAGCAGCGTCTGCTCGCCGCCGAGCTCGACCGTCTCTTGCACCTTCTTGAGGATCTCGTCGATCGAGAGCACGTAGCCCTCGTCCGACTTGGGCCCGCGGTAGAACGCGCAGAAGTCGCACACCGCAGTGCAGACGTTCGTGTAGTTGATGTTGCGATCGATGTTGTAGGTGCGGTGCGGCTCGGGATGGAGCCGGCGCGTCACCTCGTCGGCCGCGCGGCCCAACGAGGCGAGGCTTCCTTCCTTGAGGAGTCGCACGCCCTCGTCGCGCGTCAGGCGCTGACCTTCGGCGGCTTTGGCGAGAATCTCTTGGACGCTGATAGCGGCGATCATCGGACGGGCAGTGGTGTTGCAGTCGTGTTGGAGTTCGACGCGTCGGGGAGCAGCCCGGCCTCGCGGCACTGCTGGCGGAACAGCTCGAGGCCACGCCGCTCGCGCGGGCCGAGCGTGAACCGCAGGTTCTGGCGAAGGTAACGCTCGGCGTGCTCGACCGTAAGCCCGAGCGGCGGGCCTTCTTGCTGAGCGATTGCGGAGAAGGCGACGAGGCCGTCGTCCCGCATCGCCTCGAACAACGCCGCGAGCGCCGCGCCGTCCACGTTCGGACGCGCAGCCCACACGGCGAAGACGAACGGCAGGCCCGTGTCGCGGCGCCATTCTTCGGCGAGGTCCCATTCGGCAACGAACTGCTCTCGCAACTCAGCAGCCGGCGTGTGCATCGCGCGGTCGCCAATGAGGAGCACCGCGTCCGCGTCGGAATCGCCAAGCCCGGCGCCGATCGGCAAACGCGAGCGCTGCGGCTCGACGCCGACACGACGCAAGAGCAAGAGGCGACTTAGCGCCGCGCTCGTCCGCGACCCTTCGTCGAGCGCGAGCGTCCTCACCTCGGCGGGCGGGCGACGGAAGTAGACCTTCACGCTGCTCACCGGCCCGTCGGCCGCGACGCAGGCGTCCGAAACAATCCGCCAGTCGGGCGCCGCCAGCGCCTCGAACGCCGGCACCAGGGCCGCGTCGAGCCGCGCCGCCGTGAGCGAATCGGCGAGCCGGCTCGGCAGGTCTTTCAAGAGCCGCACGCCACGCAGCGCCGCCTCCGACTCGGCTAGCCGGCGGGCGTGCTCCTCGAAGCGATGGATCAGCGGCTTCGAGTTCAGGTAGTTCACCGCCCCGACGCGGAGCGGCTCGAACGGCGTCATCGGCGGGGCAGGGGGGTGAGGGCGAGATCGTTCATTCGGGATCGTAACCGCAGCGGGCGCGGACAGTTTAACCCCTGCGAGCGAGCGGCAGAATGCCGCGGACGATCGTCCATCGCGCCAGACCCGTGCCAGATCGCCGAGGATGCGTTTTAACGGGCGATTGCGCTGTCGATGGAAAATGTATCGATCGCGTCATCGGCTCGAAATTCAAGCCATTGAGCAACATCGCCGCTCAGCGGTGCGTTTAGCTCGCCACCCCGCTCTATCCTACCTTCATTTTTCCGTAGCGTCGCGCGCAGAGACGCGGAGACGCCGAGG